GTAAGAATGCTTTTGAGGGTAATATGGATTCTCAGCTCCCTGAAGAAACCTGTATATTTCATTCTAAAGGGATTTCAGAATCTCACATTCTGCAATAGAAAAGACTCCTCTATAAAAATATTCCAAAATCCAAGCTTTTCACTAATTCTTTCCAGGCCCCTTCTCCTTTCTCATCTCTCTCCCCACCAATCTGGGTTAATGAGGTTTTACTGGAACCCACCATGAGCCACAGGTAGAGACTTAAACCAGCTCCACCCTCCCTGTAGAGCTGAAGCCAGGAGTGACATCACTGTTGGAAGGCTCTCTCAGCCCGGGCAGAGGCAGTTAGCGCTTCTCGCTTCTCCCACCCCCACTCCCACCCCGCCGGGCCGTAGGGAAATGTCTCTACTGGCCCCCCTAATTAAGGCAAAAAGAGATTTTATGCCTTTCAAGAAAGAGAAGAGAAACAGAGGAAAATAGCAAATAACAATTCCAGAGTAAGACATTTTTCTTGCATGGCAGAAACAAAAGACCACAGGAAACCACACACACACACACACACACACACACACACACACGCACGCACGCACGCACACACGCACTTTTAGACAAACCTGTTCTCTTGGGAGTGGTTTTGAGCAGCCTCCAGCCTTACCAGACCTCCCTTATCCATTCAAAGTCAGGCGCCCAGGGATTACACCCTACCTCCTCAGGCCCCAGGGGGATTCTGACCTGCTTCCCACTGGGTCCAAAGCGAACCTTCAGAGAGAGCCAGATCTCTGCAACCCGTGGATACCTTCTCTCACTTTAAGCAAACATCACTGTCTCGTTTCTTTTAGGCAGTGAGTAGAGGAGAGCTCTGGGAAGATATTTTATGCCACTTTATGCCCTCACTTCTAACCAAACCTGGACATTCATTGTAACAGAAAGAGGGCAGGGCAGGAAAAAAAAACAACACTAAACCTTATATATGAAAAGAGAAAACCTACTCTCCAAGCCTGAGTCCTACTCTTACCCCAAAGCTTAGTGCTTTCAGGCTCAGTGCAACCACCCCCTCCAAGAAGCTCTCCCAGTACCTAAGTTCTAAGGAGCCTTTCCTGCTCCAGACTCAGTATGGGCCCCGGGTCTGGATCTTCATAATGTGTCAGAGTTTCTAGGCAAAAAATAAAAGCCTCATACTATACAGCATCTGCCCCTTACCAGAGCACAGGAGACTCCACAGACAATCTCAAATCTCATGTCTTCCCGTGTTAACGGTCACATGGGCACATCAGCCTCACCCAAGGCAGGCAAAGAAAAAACCACCACCACCACCGCCGCCGCCCCTCCGGATTCTGGCTGAAAATAGGTAAACTCCACCTCGGCATCGCTGCTGAAGCCCTATCTTGGGCCTGAAGATAGTGGGGCAGCCAGGTAAGGCCAGGTGGGCAAGGGAAGTAAGTAGGCCAAGCAGCTCCATTCTTTTCTCTAGAGTATTAACTATGATTCAAGGTATAAGCTGAGTACTACCGAAGCCACAACCCTAAAGGGCAAAGCAGAAGACAGACGCCAACTTCTTAGACCTGAAAGCCTGGACCCAGCTCAGAAATCCCGTCCCCATGCCTCCTCAGATAGGCACCCCCCACACACTCCAACTCATCAGCAGTTCAAAAGGCATCAGAGACCTTCTCAAGAACAGTCACCTGGAAAGGAGGGAGGGCACTCACAGATCTGCCTGGAAAATACCTCGCCGGTGCCAGACCCTTTAAAATATCCGAAGTTCTCAATAACTGGGAGCTACTATTATTCTAGAGGGGCAGGCTTACAGAGGGTCGGCGTGGCTAAGAGTCTTGTCCCGATGCCACTTTACAAGTGGAGGACCCACCCCCAGCTGGCGCTCCTTCCCTGCCCACGTGCCTCCCAGTGCCAGAGCCCGGGAAGTCGAGCCGTCCAGATGTGGTGGCGAGACCGCCACTTCCGGAAGGGGAAGCGCCCCTCGTTCCGCACCTCCCCTCTCCATCCCAGGGGATGGCCGACCTGGCCCGCGGAGAGGCCCGCGGGATTCTAGAACCCGGTGTGGGGGCTGCGGGGTGGCCGTGGGCACTGCGCGGCCAGCGCTGACACCTGGCGGCGGCCCGGGTCCCAGCCCACGTCAGGGCCGGCGCTGAGGGGCGGCTGCCAGAAATGGGTTACAGGGGCCGAGAACAAAGCGCCCCCATTGGGGAAAGCGGGCTAGCGGCGGCGGCCGGGAAGGGAGAGCACTTTCGGGGGACCCTCGGGATGCCCTTTGTCGGCTAAGTCCTTCTTTAGGGGGAACCCACCCCTCGTCAAAGGTGGATGCTGGAGTCCTAACCAAAGCCTCCCCCGGCCTCGGGCTCCACGTTTGTCCCGCTTTCCCCCAGGCTCCACTGGGCGGGCCAAGGGACCCGCCTTCCCTCCGCGCGGCTCCAGCACAAAGCCGGGCCGGGGGAGGGGAAGGGCCCCGCCGGGTCCGCTCGCCCACCCGGGCGTCCCCAGCACGGACACGCGACCCTCCGCAGGCAGCACAACTCCAGCCCAGAAGTTGGGTTCCTGCTGCTCTCTAGTGTTCTGGGGCCAACTTCCCGGAACCTCCCGCTGCCAGCTAGGCCGGCTCCGCTCCGACAGCCAAGGAAAGCACGAGGGCCCCGCCTCCGCCCGCGCCCCGCGCAGCCCGGGCCCCAGCTCCCT